TATATATATATATATATATATATATATATATAGCAGGAAAGTACAAGTTTGCTTGTTAATATAATGTGTAAAAGAAAGATAGCAAAACCTTAAATGAGCAGCATATTAACATAAGCATCAATATTCAGTAGGAAATAGAAAGGATGAATGCATTTTTCAAAAAGGCAAGATATGCGGAAAAAGTGTCAGCTGAATTAGAATATCATAAATATAATAACATCGACAACAAAATAATAAGCACGACAATGGGTGTATATTGCTAACACGTCCAAAAAAGGATAATGTTGTTATACAAACTAAAATAAATAGCAGCAGCAACAATAGAAGCGCAATGCATATTATATGAACAATCCAAGCAAATCAGCACTCGTCCGCAAATCAACCCGACCCGAAATTATATTCATCCATCTCTACTAAATCATCACAATTAACCCAGTTCAACACGATACCCACAATGCCACTGAATGTATGTATATGTATATTTCGTTTCAATACAAATACTGCATACCTTCTTGCTATCAAGTAATCAATTAAGCCTAACCATCTTATCACAAGCTTATTATAATAATATTTCACTATTGTGATCTTCATTTATTTATGTGTCTGTGTAAATGTATGTAAGTGATTTATGTTTGTGAATTGATTATCACTCTTATAACATATATGGATATGAAAACTAACTTATCCATCGTAATCAATGAACGGTAGTGTATGTATGAGCATACTTGTGTGAATGTATCTTTACGTGTGTGTGCGTGCATTTCTATGAAACGAAAGAAAGAATTAATTAACGAATGAATATAAAAAAGTTAATGTATCAGTAAAGAATGCAAATAACTATAATTCTATACCGATAACCAAATGATAAAATACACCAACCATTCTCTTTATAGCCCATACCAAGAATCACTTCGGGTGCTCGATAATAACGTGTCACTACGTACGGTGTCATCATAAACGAATCTCCAGCACTTCTGGCCAATCCAAAATCGAGTATTTTTAAACTACAATCACTTTTAACGACAATATTGCTTGGTTTCAAATCCTGCAAGCATTTACTCATCTATTATTTTATATCCCTTCATTTAAATATCTTTATTTATATATTTGCATCAATAACAATAACAACAACAATAAATAACAAATGCACATTTAGACATACGCACCCTATGAATAATACCCGCAGCATGAAGATGCCTAATACCACAAAGCATTTGATATAATAAATAGGACATCCGCTCATGATCCAGATCCATCTGTATCACCTGACATAGATTCGCATCCATCAACTCCATTACAATATATAGATCCGAAAATTCATCTAATGTTTTTTGAGGTGTAAATGCGTTCAATAAACCAATTATCTGAAATTTTATTCACTCATCTAACAACACACTTGAAAATCGCTTAATTGTTCACTCATTGAAGGTTAATCAACTGAATATAGATGTAACGAATAAAATTAAGAAACGAACATTTTTATGATTAACGATATTCATGAGCTTAAATTCACGAAATGCTCTCTTTGCATGAGTGACGTTTTGAAATGGTCGGCTCAATTTTTTTATTGCTACTTGTTCATCACGCAGTGTATCATGTGCTGCACTGAAATTAAATATCATCTATTAGTAAATCGAATATGTGGCATTATCTAATGTCATCATTATTACAAATCACTTACCAAACAACACCCTGTGCGCCTGAACCGATAATACGCAGATTTTGGTATCGCCTCAGGACGCAAAGACGTGTATCATTGATATCAACGTTGTAGAAGTCTGATGCTGCTGATGTTGAAGCCATCCCAATTGAGAGGCTGAAGTGTGGTGCTAGTATTAATTCAGCGATTATAACCGTGCAACAAAAACAAACTGATAACATAAACTCATTTACTTTTTGTAAAACGGATCAAAAGCACTCGCACAACTATCCAATGAAACCACGTCTTTATCGTTGTAGTCGTCACGATTTGTGCTTGTCGTATTTGTTGTTACTAGCCACTAAAACAAACGCATCATTACAATTATATTCTAATTTATACAATTACTTTAAAGTTTTAAACAATTGCTGCATGAATACGAAGAAATATCTGCACAGAGTTTTGTGCTATCTTCATTTAAAAATGCAAACGTACGCAACGAATGAAACAATCAATCTATTTTCATAGAGAATGACCTAACTGCTATCTTCATTGTGATCTAAATGCAAGCAAACAACTACAACAATAGCAACATTCAGCGTAAACAAAGATGATCACTTTACATTGCTTTTGAATGGAATTTTGGAGAATGGAACGAAAATGGATCGTGAAAGATGGAAAAGTTTCATGAAAAAAGAAAAAAAAAGAGAATGATGAGTTTGGTAGATGAGTTGCAGCAATATTCGGCGAGAGATGGACGAATGAATGGATGTGTGTCAGAAGAAGATATATGTGCTGGATTGCTTGGATAAATGATGGATGGATTTAGACGAGGAGTGACACAAACATATGGATATAGTTACTCGGTGACACCAAAATGTGTACACGCTCAAGCTAGTAGCGCAATACTGAACATCTTCGATGAAATGAGTAAATGTGTGATGATTGATTGTAAACGTTACACACCATACGCGGACACGATTGGTTCCAATCAAATATTGAAATTTTGCAGAAAGAGCGCAAAAAAAGAACATGAAATTCACTGCAATTAAGAAAGTAGGCATGAAATGAATGATAAGACTGGTGTACGATAACAAAAACAATAAGTGAAGCCAGCAAGGAAGCAATGAACCTGCGTAACACTATCAAAGAAATTCGAAATATGTCCTTTTGTTCCACGCAAAATCGAACCAAACGAAGTGGAATTTATATTTGATGCGTTGCTTTGTTGTTGATGAGTACTTGTTGTTGTGCTCGTCGTAGTTAGTGTCACTATGGTTGTGGTTAGAGACGATTGTTTTGTTGCACTATTATTGTTTATTGTTCTAGCATTTGCTGCTGCTTGTACACTCGACGATGATGATTGCTGCCCAGACACCGAATTCAGTAGGGTGGTGCTCGTCAATCGGTGTGATGAAGATGACGATAATGCTTGAGCACTGCCCGTAAGGGCTAAAATAAGCACAACACTTATTGATCACAATAATAATAGTACACATTTGGCAAGTTAAGAATAACGATAATGAATAAATGAAATAACTGATTCATTTCTACACACATCCATTTCTAAACGTTCAGATAAAGTTTCTTTACATAAGATAAACTCACTTAATTTCAGAAAACAATTTTAATACATACCTGTAAACGTATCAGAATTTTGCTTCTCAATAGTGTTATTTTGAATGTTTTTGATGGTCAGTTTGCACGTTGTATTGCGAAATTATTTTATTTTGTTTTATTTTATAACGATCAACAATAAATGCAAAAATTTTTCCTTTTTATTTTTCTTTTTCAGACACCACTCGTCGACGTTCAAATAAATGAATGGAACCTAAAAACAAAACCACTTTTATCGAACCTGAAAAATAAACATTAACAGTTAAATAAATCAACGGACAAATAAACAAATAAATGTATTCCATTCATTTATTCATAACAGCGATAATAATAATAATAATAACAATAATAGTAACAATAATCATAACAATAATCTTAACAATAATAATAACAATATTTACATCAATAATAATAAGAGGTCCCATTAGCATATCGTACAAAAAGCAGGCAGCACAAAAGAATTAGTGTTATGCTATGAATACCATCCGAAATAATCAATTCAGTTGCCTCGTTCTCGTTATTCTTAACAATTTGCTCATCAAACGAGACGATGAGTGAAGAGAAGAGTGCAAGACAACACATCACACCCAGCAGTATTTCAAAAGATTTCTTTGAGAATATATTTGTTTATGAATAAATAAATATAGATAGGCTATACACGAATAAGAAAAATATGAGCATGTTGATGGATGCATATTTTGAATTATAGTAAGAGGATGGAATATATTATATATAGATTTTAGTTTCGCTTACGCCTTAGCTTAACTTACATCCACTCTTCTATTACTATTTCTTTGCTTGTCCTTTATCGATCACGCATTCATCTTTCTTTCTCCTATATGGACATATCACAGGAAGAAGGCATTTCTAAAAGCTTGATGTGTACATACATATCTAGTTAACAAGCTCTTCGATGTCTCGCTTGTCTCGTCTCTGCTATAACTCTACTGCTAGTTTTATCCACAAGTCAATAAATAGTGCACATGCAATGTAGCCAATGGCCAGTAAACGTGAAAAATAAAGCCGGGAATTTGTTAGTACTAGTGACGTCTCTATACCACCTTTTTGAAAACTGTTCTATTCTGTTCTTTTGGGCTCAAAAACGACTCTATTCTATTCTATTCTATTCTATTCTGTGCGTTCCTCGTTTGAGAACTCTTCTGTTCTATTTTATTCTACCTGCTTGAACTGTGCTATACTGTTCTAAACTGTTCTGTTCTGTTCCTTCAGTCAGAAAAATGACACGGTAAAACTTGTAGTAATTAGGGTTGGAAACATGTTTTTTGGCGTTATTAGTGCAAAATGGAGATTATTTCGGGTGGGAGAAGACTGTTCACGCAGGCATTTAACAACTACTGGCTGTGATGATTGGAGGGAAACGAAGGGTTTCGGGTTCTCGT